CTGGGGTAGAGTTAAGACTGGCACGCGGCCTGGCTGTGCAAGGGCAAAGTATTCAAGGGCATTAGGTGAGGCTGGGGCAATACACAGCTGGTGACCAGGGACTTCCGTCCCCACCCCGACCCCCAGCCCCCCACGCGCACGCAGGAGAGTTGTCCGCACACACTTCAAGGACCCCAGAGCCACAGCTCTCTCCAGGACGGAAGAGGAGCGGAAGGGAAGCCGCAAAGCCGGCGCTTATCTGAACTTGAACCCGGGGCAGGCGGTGGGCTGCAGCCGGACGCCCGGCCTGCGATCCGGCGCGCGGAGGAGCCGGCAGGAGCCCCTGACTCCCAGTCCTCGCCCGTGCCCTGGCGCAGGGGTCCAGGACGTCCGCGGGTCGCGCAGCGCTTACCCTCCGCGGCCCGTGTGGCTTTCGTCTCCAGGGAGCGGGGCGGGCCCAGCGGGGTCAGGTCGCGAGTGACGTGGTGGCCTGGGCCGCGGAGCGCCCTTCCCGCGGAAAACTGGGCCGCCTGGTGCCCTGAGACTCAGCTTCGGGGGACACAGGGCTGCCCCGTGCGGGGTCCCTGTGGGCTTGGCAGCCCGTGACCTCTGACCGCAGCCACTACCAGCCCCGGCTGCAGCCCGTGGCCTGAAGGAGCAGAACTGGGAGGCTATTGGGGTGGGGCCCCTCTGCAACGAAGACGGCGCCACCTCTAAAAGCTCACGCTAAAACTGTGAGAGAGCTGTGAGAGCTTCACCCCAGCAGCCTCAATCCCAGCTCCTGGCCCAGCCTCTAGGTTGAAAGAGTTGGCTACTTGTTTGGGTCAAAAATGGGAGTATTGGTGCTTTCACTACACTTTAGAGTTATTCAAAGTCTGGAGACAGGTCTCAGAATAAAGAGGAGCTTTCTTATGACATAGAAAGTTGAGGTGCAGAGAAGAACAGGGATCTCCCCAAAAATGTGCTTCTAAATTTTGAGTAGCCATTTCCTACTCCTGGGACCAAACAGTAAGTTGGTCTGCTTTGTTTTGATTTTTTCTAATGACTATTTTAAAAGCCCATTACTATGCACTATATAGCCTGACAGCCTTGCTTTCTGAAGGGGCTGCATGAATTTTAAGAAACCCCAGGAAAGAACCATCTAGACAAGAAGGTTTAGAAAGCCCTACCATCCCAAATGTTTACTTGGCACACTCAGCTCCATAAAAACAACCCAAAAGTTGGTCACCCCAGCACATCTGGGTAGGTTCCCTATTCACAAGGGAAAGTTTTCTCAGCCCTAACCCCAAGATCATGTGACAGGTAACAAAGGAATTCCAGAGAAGTTTCCAGATTCAAACAACTCGTAATTTCTGGAAAAACACTGTCTAAGCCAATTTTTCAAATTGTGGTCCCTGGACCACCTACATCAGATTCCTAAGGATTCCTTGTTACAGGTTCAAGATTTAGGGCCTACACGATTGCTAATCAGTTAGAGGAATGAGGCCTAGAAATCTACTCTGTAACAGGCTTTAAAACGTGAAAAGTGCAACATGAACAATTGTCCCCTTCTTGTTAAAAAGAAAAGTATAGGGACAGAAGACCCAAGAAAGCACACTCCTAAGCTGGCGATCAATAATGAAGACTGAAAAGAATCCTTACACTGCAAAACTGGGAAACAGCAGAAAACAGAGCTTTAGCTGGG